ATTTGCTGACTTCATTAGTGGTATTCGTCCCTTGTTGTCATTTTTCAAAGAAGATTCAGCTAAAACGGATGAGTAATAAACATCACGATGAAGCTCAAGAATCCACAGGAAGGCTGAAATTCAATTATTAGGCTGTAAAAAAAACTATTATAATTTTTACAACATGTTTAGGAACAGATAGAAGCCTGCAAGAGTGTCAGATTGTCTAAACGGAAGCTCCATTATGCGGGATACAAACGATTTCATGTTTTCATAACAAACTGATGGCACGTGAACGTGATGCTGGCGGAGCGGGCACTAGAGGTCTACACGGGTCCAAAAATTCGTACCCGAACCCGAAGAGACCCGTAAATGTGCTACACTGAACCGACCCGGACCCGTCTATTATTTTGAAAGTTGGACCCGGGCCCGTGCAGAACCGAGAAATGTCAAAAATGTACTACCTGGAACCGACGCGGACCGTCAATTATTTGAAAGATGGACCCGAACCCGGCCGGGAAGACACAGACCCGACTGGACCCGATCGGCACATATTCCACAGCAAATTGCTATTAACAAGTCGATAAACAAGTTGCGAAAATTTAACTTTTTGTCTTACCTAATATAAAAAGCCTTCTCCCTGGTACCTGACTGTGATGCACACAATCCTCCTTGCCAAGAAAGTTCCATCCGTGTTATTCCTCTCTTGCCAATTGAAATGCGTAATCCACTCATTATTCCAGTTTCAAAAGTCCACTTGCTGTCACGGGGACGGATGACAAATGCGACTTTGCAGTTTTGCATTTTTTGTATCTCGAGTCAACTTGCATAATAATTTAGACTGTTTGCCCATTTGGATTATAAGAACGATTGCTCGTCCAGTGCCATGCTGACGTTAGCTTTACTTATTTGTTATCATCTCTATGCTCTCTGAGCCGAGTCTGAGCAAAAATTTTAGATATAACAACAAGACGGTTCATTCATAATATTATTTAAAAAAATAATCAATAATAACTCACATCTCATGAAGGTATCCATCATCACCGTGTGTGTGCATTAACTCCGCCCACTCTGCTTCTGATGACGTCGCTTGTGTTATGTTTTGTTTTTTCCACCTTATTTCAAATTACCGACTCACACTTTTCTCATCCTGATTTTACAAGTTGAAAGTTACAAAACAACACACGCACAGCGCTGACTGACTCTGATAACGGCCGGGTGTTCTCCGAGTCCGATCGACTCGGGTATTACACACAATGTTAAACAGACCCGGGACCCGAAGTAATAGATTGGGACCCGACCCGGACCCGGCTGACCATTTAAAATATAGCCCCTAACCCGTACGGATCCCGGGTCGGGTCCTCGGGTCCTCGGGTCTCGGGTCCTCCGTGTAGACCTCTAGCGGGCACACAAAGCAAACCTATGCAAACCACTCAAACACTTAATGTCCTGTACACTAACTGACTTTATACTGATCCACCCAAAATGTGACACTCAGTGAGTGTTGCATGAAATCATGAGAAAAACCCTGTGTACTATACAAGAAGTGAGCTGAGCTTTTAAAGAAAACACATCCTCTCATTCAAGCAAAGAATGATTATAATTAGTCGTCAATCGATTTTTCAACAACGGCTGATATTTAAAAAGCAATATAATGCTGATTTACATATAACGTAATGGCAAATGATACACAAGATTGCTAATAATAAACAAGAACATTTTACCCAATATTTATGTTTTGAAAAGCCAGTTTGTATATTAGGAACCAGGCAGCATTATCGTCAAATGCCGACAGTCTCAAATGCTCAAGTGTTTGCCATTTAATCCACCTGGACATTATTTTGGTCATCATTTATAAGATAGTGCCATTTTCATGGTACAATATCTGATATACCGACCTGGCACCCAAAATGTCTTTCTTGGCCAACCCAATTCCAGCAATGACTTTCACCCTTAAGATTCTGGATTCATCCTGAAGGAAAGCAAAAACATTCAATAAGCAACACAAACATCAAGAATTAAACTCCCTGGAGATGTGAGAATGGTTAAAACCTGATTAAAATGGCTTGATGGCTGCAGATGGATTTCCTTCTGAAACAGGAAACTTTGACCCATAAGTGGGAGGGACATTCTTATTCCAGAGAGCATGCGATTGGCCAAAATGTGTATTAATTCAGGATGATGTAATCAATATTTCTGGAAGAAATTTTAAATTGGCCTACTATTTCTTTCAAGAAAATAGACCAAAATATTGATTACATCATCTCGCATGAATACACATTTCGACCAATCAATCTGCTTGGAAGTTTATTTAGTTTGCTTTTAACAGTAAGTGACCATATAGATGGTAACATACAAAACTCTCACTAGACATGTTTATTGATTATATCTCAAAAAGAGTGTCGAACATGATAGCAACACCCAAGAAAGAGCTACAAACAAGAAATATAATTAAATTAGGTTACACTTTACTTGAAGGGGTGTGCATAAGACTGACATGACACCTTCATAATCATTACCAGATTATGATCTTCATAATCATTCACACGTCATGAATATGAAGGTTTTTTATGCATGTTTATGACAACTGTCATTAAGTGTCATTCGCTCAGTTATGT